TGAAAGACCGAGTCACTTGAGAGCTACTGCGTGAGGGGATAGAGGACAAACGTAGGTCCTGTCCGGCCTTCTCCAAAGATTTCAAATTTTTCGCCCGCTCACCTAAATCTGGCCCGAATAAGAACTCCCCTGGTAAGGTGTTTTCAGTCAGTTCTTTAACTGATTTGTTGAGTACTGGGCTGATCAGGTACTTTCTAGTTTTAGAGATGTCGTGAAAGAGTGCCGCCAAGATTCGCGCAGAATCTGTCAAATTCGATAAAATCTTTTCCTTGGTATCCTTGGGAATCTGGGTTTCTTCTTCCAAAATGACGTTAAAAGCTTTCCCCATGGCGGTCAGTCCGGTACCAATGTTCAATTGGTACCCGGAATGGGTGGCATCTCTCGTTAAATGAGTAGAAGAGAGAATGGCTTTCACTTCGGGGTTTATCTTCGGAGGGTGTAAAGAGGCACAGTTAGAAGGCACAATGTGTTTTTCTCTAATGATGGTGGTGTCCTCGGTGGAAAGTCCGTTGGCCAAAATGTGGGACCATCGAGAAGCTAAGGCACCGTGTAGTTGGAAGTTAGACCTATTGGCTTTTTTAGGGTCTACACCCAGGATATTTAATATGTCTTCCGATAATGGGAGACACTCACCTTCACTAAGCATCAAAACATCCTCCATATCATTTTTCTCAGTTGGTACCGTTCCCAAGTCCGGCCCTGTCAGAATCTGAGCTTCCGCCTCGCACGGAGAACGGCCAGCCGAGTCTACCTGACGCTGTACCTTATCAGATGGGCTGCCTGAGTTTTTCTCTTGACGCAAATATTCCCGTCTCTCTCTACGTCGCCTCGACACGCTCGGTGATCGACTGCGACTGTTACTACTCCTAGAACGTGACCTTGAACGCCTACGGCTGATGCGAGAGCGGGAGCGTCTAAAATGATGAGGTGAATTGGTACGAGACATGGATCTGCTGTGTCGACTCTTTCGGGATAAACTTCTCGAATTAGTGCGAGAACGATAACCACCTGACCTTGCCTCGAGCTCCTCCTGTAAAATGGCCCGAATCATGTCTCTCAAGGAGCTGGGTGAATTGGCCTCCGAAATTCCTGATTTTTCCATGGTTTCTGTTAAACAAGTATAACCATTGGTTAACGTATTCAATCTGGTTGAATACGCCAATCAATTATGTAACAGACTGCTAAGTGGTATCAAAAGAATAGCCTTGTTGTGAACTTACCTACCTACTCACTGAGCACTATGTACCGAAAAGAGAAATCGCACGCGTTTTCTGAACTGAAGCAGGCCGGGCGACTGCACGGATCGCGCACCAAAAAGCGAATGATTCAACGCGAGTGGCCAGGGCGCGGCGAGGAGGTGGGGATTCTCGTCTTTCAACTTGGTGCGCGGATCGTACTCCAGGGGCGGACTACATAGTGAATAAACAAAGTGATGTCTTCGGACTGGACCCAAAGTATAATTCACGCCGGAGTTTACAAGAACATCGCTGGAAGACGCGAAAATAGGTTATTTCGCCGCGATGGGTATGGTATGTTGCTTCCGAACGCAACTGTGGGTGGAGGTGTACCAGCATAAATTAAATAGTATGCCATCTGGTCATACGTTATCCTAATATTACAACGTCGCATGTAGCATTGTTCCTATTTTGATAAAAATTGATTTTAAAAAATTGCTTTAGTTTTAAGCCTTAATTTAAATATATGAATGGTTTTAATTTACAAGCGGTGTTCATAGTGGTCAATTTAAGACTTCATATTGTAACTTTTTTTCAATAAATAAAACGGTATCGAAAAATTTATTTATTTAGAAAGGCATGGAACTTTGGTATTCTTAAAGACAACAATTTTCCTTAACTACGTAACATAGAACTTTGGCACTTAAAATGATGCTACACGTTAGACTTTATTTGTTCCTAAAAATAGACTAGTAGTATTGTCTATCCATCTCAGAAATCCACTTGTACATCGATCTTATAGCGTCCACTTCTGTTTGAGGCACTTCAACACTGCTGTCACATTTTTTAAGTTCCAAGGGTATCATCTTTCCAGTTTCAGCCGTGGCGAGTTGTGTTCTTCGTAGTTTTTGCTGGTGCAGATTTACGATTTTAAATGTTTTAGAATCGTCTTCCATCTTGAAATAGTCTTTATATTTCAGCTCAAAAAAGCTTGTTGAAAACTGTAAACATACGTCTTTCGAAAAGGGGACCACATTGCAGTTTTATTGACTTGAAGAATACTGAAAGTCTATGAAGTCCTATTCCAAATACATTTCATATGACTTCTTTATATTTAATCCACTTACCAAACCAATCTCAAAATATTATAACAAGGTTGTATGTTGCAACATAGAACGGTGCAATATTTTCTTGAGTTTTAATTTATTTATTACAAAGTTCTATGTTTATCATTCACCTTTGGTATACACAAAAGACATATTTTCCAAAATGCACCCTTGATTTTCTGTTGATAACTAAGTTTCTATGTTAGTTAGAGGTTTCGTTCCAAGTTTAAAATATAGTAATTGTCCCATAGAACTTCGTAATACCGCAAAGCTGAAAAAGATAAAAATGTCACATACAACCTTGTAATATTAGGGTCACCCATTGGCATGCAGGCCACCGGGTCAGCTCATCAAATCATTAATTAAGAAAGTTTTCTACAAGATGCTGCATTTGGACGACCACATACAATATCCATCGCCACGGCCATGTTGCCAAGTAGGATAGCAATTGTCTTAGAACTAATGAAGAGAAGCTATCTTCCTTTGCATTTTTCTTGCCAAGGAATGATGATATCAACCTCCCTCACTATTGTTCCTAAGATGTGACATGCTCAAAATTTCTCATAGACGTTAAACGGAATCTCAAAACCTGCGACAAGTGCGAAAGGTTGCAGTGTTGGCGACTAGAGACGGTGGTTGACAGGAACACATGATGTTTCAGAAAGAATGTCATTACTTCTAACGGTAGAAAGTACATCCAAAAATTACAAAAAAAGTTCCCATAAATATGAGGCCAAAGATGCCCCCTACCGAAATACAGGGTGATGATGTTTCATTTAAAAAATTGAAAAAAATATATATCTACGGAGCAGATCTAAGATAAAATACGATTTACGTTCAGTGGGCACATTATAAGCCATAAACACGGCCCAAACTGAACGTTTTGAAGATATTTAGGTTTGAATATTTGTGGTAGAATCCTAAAATATTCTTATGAAAACGTTTCTCCTCACCTATTCTGAAAACATCGTGATATGGCATGTGAACAAAACTATGGAACCTCATTACAAAATTAATTAATATGGGTGTCTTATCATCAACCAGTAGCGTAGAAGCTTTGCTGTGTACGCCACTGGCTTTACTGGCGTATTAATTTTTGTTTATAAAAGAACATAACAAAGAAAACATTTATTTCAAAAATTAATAAAGCTAATCAGAATACAACATGCTTATTTCTTAATTTATGAGGCCATAACATTGGAAACAAAAAATAATGCTGAATAAATGCTATAACATCCAACGTAAAGGCGGCGTTGAAAGTGACCACCTCTGGATTAAACAAAAGCATGTGCTCTACGCTACAACTACTCTCTGAATCTTTGGAAAATACTTGGCGTAGTACGAACAGTGGCCTTCTGTATATTTCGTCCTCATCCCTAGATTACGGGACTTGTTTCAAAATACTTTAATACGGGACTATCGTAAAATATACGAAGATAATATAAAACTTGCATTGTACAATAAAATTCTTATGAAAAACATGAAAAATAAAAGATTTCTAAGGACTTTACAATAAAATGCAAGAACAAAATATCAATAAAAAGTCAATATATATTATTTGACACTACATTCCTTGCATACATTTCCTCGATGCTCACCACAGATCGGATGTCCACACTGTCCACAATACGTCGTTGTCATCCGTCTCTTTTGAGAAGGGCAAAAAAGCACGTTTTACGCTTTTTTTCTAGAGGGATTTCAGGTGTTGTATCTTTTCGAATATTGAGAAGAAGGGCAATATCTTGACTTATATTTCGACGCAACGTAGGAGTCGATAATCTATGCCTCATCCATGGCTCAGCAAGGCGACGACTTAAATCTATCATGTACTGGTAACGTGAAAGGGGTTTCTCTCCTCTTGATAAAGCATTAAAAGTATAAATCACAAAGGAGTTGATGCGGGCTATATAGCACACACAGGGGCCATCTTCTAGTTTTCCTGCTGCAGCTCATGTTGGAACACATTTGGTCGAATGTGTCGACACCCCCTTTAGTTTCATTGTAGTTCTGAACAATTGCTGGTTTTCCTGTTTGTTTTGAAATTTCAGCACCCTCATGCATTGTAGACAATAGCAGTACTAATTTCTGCTTTCTAGGCACATACGAAAGTAATACTTTTTCTTGATCAAAACAGAACATTGATGTATTTACGTTTCGCTGCCTTATGTCAAGCAGTTCGGGAGGAATTTCCCTTTTATTTTTTCTTAGTGTTCCAATTATTGTCAGTTTGTAAGGATCTTGGAGTAGTTCATTTGCCAAACTGACGGACGTGAACCAATTGTCCATGTTAATATTCCTGTTACTTCCATGGACAGATTTTGTAAACTCCTTTAGAAAGTAGGTAGCAAGCGGCAAACCATTCGTTCTGGTACTTTTTCCTATATATGGACTAGCATCAACCATATAGCATGTTGAGTTGTTACATAGCATGACAATTTTTATACCATACTTTGAAGGTTTATTCGGTATGTAGATGCGGAATGGACATCGTCCACGAAATCCCAAAAGCTGTTCGTCTATAGTGAGGTAAGAAGATGGTGTATATGATGATCTGCAAGTTTCAATGAAAATATCCCATAACTCACGGATATGGGTGAAAGGATCATTAATTTTTCTTTCTTGTCTTGTTTCTCTTGAATCAAATCTGAGACAGTTCAGTAAGAACATAAATCTGTCACAGTTCATGCAGGCTCTATAGAAGGAACCAGAAATCGTCGTATCAAACATATGTCTGGCAGATAGATAGATGGTTGTCTTTCTTGGCAGCCGAGAGTATCAAAATTGCAAACAGCGCCTGTAGTTCTTCTTTAGTGGTAGGTGACACATTGTTGTTACCCGTGTAATTTTGCCTTTGTCGTACAATTTCTTCATTAGTGTGTAGTAATATTATATCAAGAATAGGATCAGAGAAGAAATGTAAAAAATATTCTTCCAGTGTCACATACTCCTTCGCTTCACCTTTCGGGCCTGCCACAAAATGGATGAGGTTTCTTGAAGCAGTTCTTTTAGTTCTGCTGGGCTGTGTTGATGTCCATCTCTGACCATTCTTTCCTTTCAAACTCAAAATATTGGGTTTAACTAGAAAGTGATTTGTTTTACAAGGTTCAAGTTGAGGTTGATGTACGGGATCGTCGGAGTCCACATGGCCGTCATCATTCTTTTTCTCTGCCGAAGTAGTCGTTTCTTGTTCATTTATAGGAACATTCTCGTCCAAATAGAATTCATCATTTGAATCATCTGATCCCTTCATCGATTCTACTTCAATATTATCTTCTTCCCAATCACTGCCACTATCCTCAAATGGTTCTGGATCACTGTCTCCTCCCTCCATAATTTTTCTCACTTCTTCTTCCAATTCTGCCTGAGGTAAGGACCGTTTTGAAGTCATTTCGCTGGAAAGACATGTACTCAGAACGCTATAAGTATGAAAAATAGAAAACACCTTACCTCACAAATAAATGTCAGCAAAACCGCTTTTCAAAGAATAGAATAAAAATCAGCTTGCGCGAAAATAGCAAACAGTGACACGGGACTATCGTAAAATTTACGTCGGAAGTGCAAAATCTCCGTTACGCTTGACAAATACACGATGTTACGTACACCGAAGTCTAGCCGAAAACTAAATAGGAAGGTATCGAGAATCTCATTCCGATACGCTAACCGAAAATGAACGAAAACCCACGACGAATATTGTCGATCGTAAATTTTACGAATGTCCCGTACTCTAGGGTCATACATTGTGTCCGAGGTTGCCAACGATTTGTGGTATCTTCTTTGTTGAGCTCACTTAATCCGAAATGCTGAAGAATTTTAAGAAAAAAGGCCGATAATTTCAGAAGTAAATTAAGAATTTTACTAAAATTGATTTAGTACCCCAGTTTCCACGCTCCTGGTTTAGTTTGAGACCGAAATGTTAACTCAGTATCTTTACTCGCTCCGTAGATATATATATTCTTTCAATTTCTTAAATAAAACTTCATCACCCTGCATCTCGGTGGGGAAGCGTCTTTGGATCCATATTTATAGTAACGTTTTTTGTTATTTTTGGATATACCTTCTACCTAGAAATGGTGTCACGTCTTTCTAAAACACCATGTATAGTTGTACTCATAGGTAGCTGGCGGAGCAATGGTATATACTCGTATGTCTGTTCCGTGGAACTTGATATGGGCATATCTAAATCTACGTGTGATACACAGCATCATGTTAGCTTTCGACGCTGACGATATTTCATTTTGTATCTCATATAGCCGGGATGGATGTAATATTTTTTACCCTGATGATTCACATTGAAAAAAAGCGCAACTTGTACACCATACTGATGCGGAGTCGGCTTAATAACTTAATTTCTGCTCAGTCTGCTCCACACAGCTTTCCCGGCATTTTATGAAAAAATAAACCTAATATATTCGAGTGTTGAGTTGTGGGATGCGTAGAATAATTTTGAAATACGTCTACATTTATATACGCTTCGCATTTATATTTCTATATTGCACATCCTACTAGATATAATTTACTTTTATTTCTGCCTTTGGCCACAATTCAACGAATAAGTTATTAATGAAATGTTTGAGTGGTACACACATATATCGTACGAAATCTGATCTGAAATTTTCTGGCCCCATACGAAGTCACTTTGGAATTCATTGAAAAAATGGCACTACCCATATAGAACGCTTAGAGATATGGCTCTTTCCACGGTTGCTGTCAGTTACGTCACAACGTCATACGAAACAGATTGACTGATGGCATTATGTACGCAGGTAGTAGCTGCTACGCGCTCTTGTACACACACAGACCAGCGTGAGTAAAAACAAATCATACGCCCATGACAAGAAAGTCGTTATACTGACAGTGACAAACATAAACGTGGGAGACTCATAAGTTGATGTGAAAATTCTAAAGGCAGTGCGATAGAACTAACAAACATATCATATGTCTTTAAATTTACTTGAACGTTCGCGCATAGAGGCCGGCGGCATATCGATGGTCTCCGCAAGTACAGGCGTAAATGACAAAAAAAAAATCTAAAATCGAGTTACGCCGTAATTTCACATATTTTTTTGTAGAATCTCACCTTACGAAGTGACTTAACTGTATATCAGTTCGCTGCTTGGAAATAAAATTCTCAATAAATTGCGTAAGCGATAAAATTTCGAAATCAATTTTCACGTATCGGCTTAAATAGATTTACGCCTCTGCGTTAAAATGTGTCTCTAATAATATGTAAACATAACCTATAAGTATTGTTGTGTTGTTGTGAATGTGTCGACTTAAACAAAATGTCAAGGAACTACGGATGTTAGCGGTAAAAGAGAGTGAACTAGAAAATAAAATAAAATGGACAGAAATGTTGGAAATAATGGTAAAGCAGGATGAACCTATGACACTATATTTAAGTACAGCCAACAAGACCACCATTATGATAGGTTAGTATTGAAACAGCGAAAGAAGGGCGGCCTAAGTAACTTGCTGTTAAAACCTTTGAATGAAGGACTTACTAAGATATCTAAGAAAAAATTTTAGGATCTTATATCTCTATGCAAAGGAGACACTCCAGTTATCCGTATTTCTCAATTCCAACAATTTTATTATTATCTGGCCCATGAAGACTAAACAATCAGTTCAACTTTTAAAAAAAAATTTAAAATTTGAACTCTGTCATTATTTTCATAGTGTAATTTGGATCTTAGGTTAAACTCACTCTAGGATTTACTTTTTGTTTTGTACTTATATTATGTAGGGAATAAAACAATTTTTATTTTTGAAACAGTATTTTCGATACCTTGATACCCATGTCCAGTTTTAATTTATTGGCGCAACTACACAATAAAAGAAACAAGAGTCGTCATTAAGTGGCATAAAAGTACAGAAAATATATTTTTTAAAACTCATTTTACTTTTACAAATTTAAACCATCCCAAAACAAACTTCTATATAATTTTAGTCTAACTAAAATCAGCAACGTGCAGACTGAAAAATCAGTATATCATTTTCAATCTCATTTATAGCTGATTTTCGTTTTATAGCTTTCCCGTAAAATTTGTAAAATGTTAGTTACGCCGGTACGTGCGGAGACCGACGATATGTGAGGAAGACGGATGTATGAAAGTAATTCCTATTGTTTTATTTAGACTCACCAAAAACCATGAAAAGAACTATAGTGGTAACCACGTGACTGTCACTAACCAGTTAGGCCAATGTTTCTTGATCCGTCAGTGAAAACATTGACTTCTTTAGGCTCATATTTGTTTGAAATCCATTCTCTTCCATTTTGATATTTGGTTTAAATCTAAAAGTATAATTAACATTTCTCATGTCACATAACTTCACGTCTACTTGGAAAACAAATTGCAAGTATATCATCTTCTAGACGTATTATATCTGTGATGTACATTTTATTCGATTTACATTCCTTTTTCTGGATGAAATCAGGAGAATTGAAAAGTTCTGTCTATGGAAAGCAAACTCCATAGTCAAAACCATTTGTTATCGAGATAAAGAAACGGCCGCGAAAGAAAAACCGTGAGTAAAGGTACGTCAAAACCTTCACATAATAAATATAAAGCTTACCGAGATATAGATACAGAATTGGATTCAGAGCACCTTAGTTCCTTCTTAAGGGATGTTTTAGTTCGATTTAACAGCTTGTATTGAGACTTTCTTGAGGAAGGATCGAACTAAGGAGGACTATTCAAGGTAATAAAGATGTCAGATTGAAGAAGGTAGATTTTCTCTTTGAGACTGTTATCCGATACCTCTAGCGTCATTGCGAGCTGTCAGTTCTAACAAGGCAAATAAGCTTGCCTTTATTCGCACCATGTTGTATTGGCCGAACCTTGAGTCTTTGAGATTAGGATAAGAATCTTGTGGCAAGGAATGAACTTCATTTTGAATTAAAACTGTTTAGTAACGAACGATTCATTAACATATATCTCTTTCAAGAGAAAAGGTATAAAAGCAATCAACTTTTCGGGTTATCCTTATTAGCGAAAAACATTCCTCTTAAATGTTGACCGATACTGTTGTCAATGTGGTTCATGCTAGAAGTCCAGTCTTCGATGAGGCGTTCGAGTATTTGGAGTGATATTCAGCAAACTGTCATTGCAGCATTATGACACAGTATCTACTGCCTGAAATTCAAGATTTAAAAAAAAATTGTTTTCAACAAGACGGCTTGGCGCTACTTCCCGGACTGCCCTTTCTCGGTTTTGGGAGTTATCTTAGAGCAAGTGCTTCCACACACTCAGACCTTTTTTTGGGGTTATGCCTACATTGATGAGGAATTCGAAGTCTGCATTACTGGCGTTAACTCGCCAAATACCGCTTGAAATGCACAGAAGCGTCATGGAAAACTGGAGCTCCAAAATTCGGAAAAGTAGTTTAAAGAAAAATGTGGTGGATGCTTTATTTGTTTGATAATAGTGATAACGTCTTATTGTTTTTATTATTATATGCTTTTGAAGAAAGTACTTCTAATCGCGCATATGCGCTGTGCGCTGTGACCACGGAGTTTTGGGTCAAAAATTTTGTGTGAAAGATTCAAATGGGCTTCATGTTCAATCTCAGCAGCCCTCAAAGCTCTAGCTTTTTGCTTGATATACACCGATACCGACTCTCTGATATGTTGAAATATAGATATAAAACCTGATGATGAAAATTTGCTAGATATGTCCCTGTGCTGATGACAGAGCCAGATAGATTTTTCTAAACCAAAGGCAATAACAAATGGCCGTGTATACGTGAAGATTGTTAAAAAGGGCCTGCTGCTGTAGGAGAGATATTCAGGGGCACGTGAAAGGAATGCGAGCCATTCATTTCATGCACCGCCAACTTGCAATGTGCCCTCCGCTGTGCTTCCTCCGCTATCCTTCCACATGTACACCCCTTCCCCCCTCCCGAGACACTCCAGCTCTCCAGTTCCCGAACCACCGCATGGCATGGAACTCGGACCAGCACGGAACGCAAACCAGTGGCGTCTAGTCTGTAAGGGTTAACAGACGTAATATGTATAAGATCTCATTTGATACTGAATGGTTTCCATACCTTGAAGTATAAAGGTTTGTAACGGAAGCATCAAATATGAGATTTTTAGGCTCCATGGTTGCAGTGGTTCAGGTAAATATCAGCAAAATCACCGATTGCAACCGAAACGACTACTCGCTCATTTATGCCTCGAGAAGATAGAGACCACCGCGCAACGTTAGGAACTCGCGCTACTATTGGTCAGTGCCGTAAATACCCTTGCAGGTAGCGACAAGTGGATACAAGCGACGATCGAGTGCTCATGTTTGCTTTGTTGTAAAGCAAATGAGGTTTCAATAGATCTTAGGTTGCGGTTTTTCTATAATCATGCAGTTTTTGATTAATTTTACAACACTGAATTAC